TTTTAGTAAATTTCTAATTTTAGGCGGTTTCTATAGTGTGATCTTAATGACAATGTCGAGAGCGCATAATGTTACGCTATCCATGTGCGCGAGGACGAATCTGTCCACTCCCAAGCGGATTTCCTTCACACACACAAAACTGGACGTGTGCTTTTACCGGCCACCCTCTTTTGAGCTCAGTGTGAAAACCACGGCGATCCGACGAGTTTGAAAATCGTGCAGTGTGAACTCAGCATAACTCTGCGACAGCTGCGAGTGAGCATCTGCTGCTCTCTCTCAGGAGCTCTCTGAGATAACACACACACGTTCAGCTAGCATTACTCCTTTCCTGCTGGGAAATATAGCTACTGCATGTGGTTACACTGTCATTATGGCTGTGGGCTTTTAAAGCCAATTGTGTTTTATTTTCTGTTGATTCATCTTAAAATGAGGAATCAAAAAACAATATCTCTATCCCAGTGTTAATAAAGATTTCATATTTTAATGTATTAAATGTGGACTAGCTCAAGCAACACTTACTGTGAAATGCAGTGTCGGGCAGTAACTAGTTACAGTAATAATATTGCTTTCTGCAGTAACTAGTAGTGTAGCTAATTACTAGATTTCAGTAATAATATTACAGTTACCATCCATAAAACAGCTCGTTACTTAGTTACTTTTGGATGCCTCAACCTCTACTGATTTGAAGTCCAACAATCCAATAATTCCTAGATTTATTTTCATAATTTTCACGACTCACGAACACATTAAGTCACCAGAGCAGCAGGCATATGGAATATGACAATCTTACATTCAGCAGATGGAAATATTGTCATTACACTGATTTTGTCAGGAGATATGATCTGAACACTGATGTGTAAGTTGTGGCATTACTTTACAAAACAAACAAAAAAGGCCTCTAACCACTAGCTTGCTCTATTCTTTTTCTTTTTATCTATTATATAATAACAACAAAAAACCCTTGCTACGTGTGCTGCGTTAAGCTGAGTCTTGCTATAGCACTAGTGTATCATTGCTCTCTTGTTAGTTCTGATGGCTTCAGTTGTCCTCGTTTGTAAGTCTCTTTGGATAAATCTTTTTTAGAAAACAAAACATTTTCTTATGAACGTATGCTATTTCTTTTGATACAATACATCATTAAATATAATCATACATGGTAACAGAAAATACATCAGAGGTTAATACAAGACTTTTACTTGAACCCTATCAGTCACCGCTGAGTGTTGTTAATGACTTCTGACTGCGGTCCAGTGTGGATTTTGGTCAAATGATGAGGCAGAAATATATTGTTAGTAACATTTCAGAACAATTTGTGGTAACACTTTATTTGAAGGTGTCCTTGTTACACACGTTACATGTACTTACTATTATAATAACAATTAATTATGCATAATTACATGCAAGTAACCCTAATCCTAACCCTAACCATATAGTAAGTGCATGTAGTTAATTAATATTACTCAGTACTTAAATGTGTAATTACACTGTAAGTTAAGATTGTTGTTCAATTCAGTCAAAGCAAAGATTACTCAGACAGCAGATATCATTGTTGATGTTGTTGTTGCTAGTGTGCAGGACACTATAGTTCATTTATGTAAGCGATGAGAGCTAAATAAAGTAAACCGTGACACATTTCACCCAAAAACTCTCCATACAGTGGACTAGCAGTAAAAGTGATGTGGGATCAGACATGATTCAGACACTTATTTGAGCTGAGCTTCAGTGTTTTTCTGTAATTGCTAATGTGAGCTTTTACACCACACACTGAACAGAATGAAGCACTGCTTGGTCATTAGTTGAGCTAAATTGGTTTGATCTAATTGTGTATTAAATGTAACAGCTGACAGCTATTCAACAGAATTCATTACAGACCTTTGTATCAAAGTTACCTGAGATTATCAAGATGAGTTTGTTCTGACACAGGTTAACTCATATTTTATTACCACTTTCTAAACTATAGCGAATAAACTGTGATATAATGTGAGAGATGTTGAAGTGTCTGAATACATTTTGGTTTGACTGTATATAGTCTCTTTTCCCCATTTGATGTTTTCATCTATCAAACTATCATAATTGAAGTGTGGTCATCTGAAGCTGAGCTTCACTAAGATATAGACACAATATTCGCATCTTTATATGCAGACACTAGATAATAAATAAAACCGCGCATTTAGTTGCATGAGCACGAGATGTCACTATGATTTGACATCTCTCATGCTCAGTTATCTTCTGGGTTTCCTCATATACATATACATTTACATATATATACTATATCAGCTACTGACGGAGCAGTGTAAGCGTGTCGAGAGCGCACTAACATAACCGAGCGTTTATAGTGATCTCACACCGCTGTGTGTGCGTCTCAAACGCAGTGTGCTGCTCATTCAGGGAGTGTGTGATTGTTTCCAGACAGTGCGGATGCTGCCTGCTAAGGGAGCAGCAGTGGGCGTGTTCTCAATGGCGCACTGATACACTAGTCATAGGAACCCAGCATGTATCCTACTGTACCCGTCGTGCGCATGTTCTGAATTAATTAAAAATATATAAGTTACTGTATTTATATAATATAGCTACTGTATTTATGATAGCTGGACGCGCCACGCAACATCACATGAGGTGGTTTTGCACACTACAGTGCAGTCTCTGGTGTAGTGACTCCCGTGGTGCGCGGCGGAAGTGGAGCGCAGTAAATCAGTGCCCTCGCTAGTGTGCTCGCTGCAGTGCAGGCGGCGCTTTGTTCCGCGTCACGCCAGCCTAACGGAAAACAGCGGCTCTTCGCTGGGGATGAAGGGACTGGTCTCCGGCGCAGAATAAGCGGAGGATTGCGCACAGCGCGGCTGGATGCGGAGGAGTAGCATGAGAGCGGCTTCATAAACACTCAGTTCTCCGCACACGCCCGCTTTATTCCAGCGCCATGGACAAGATGGAGCAGGAGGTGTTCTCGCCTTTGTTGGAGGATTTTCTGCTGTCTCCGCTGGTGTGCTGGGTGAGTGACCGCGCGGATCCGTGTCGTGTCGCGTCGCGTCGCGATGGTCTGCAGAGCTTCACCTGTGTGTGTGTGTGTGTGTGTGTGTGTGTGTGTGTGTAGGTGAAGACGGTCTCTCCGCTGGGCTCCGATGGCTCTCCTCTCTCCGAGTTCATGACACTGGTGGACGGGGTTTATTTAAACGACATCATGACTGAGATGTGAGTACAAACAGATTCACGGTGGAGACCTCTTTTTCCCTGAATGAAGCTCCTCCTCAGACTCGTGTTTATATAGAGTAATGTTAGTGTTGGTTATAATATGCTGAATCACGGTAATCCTGCTGTATTTCAGTCATATCACTATCAGCAGGGCTGTGATTGGGCCGCCTGTGGTCACGTGACTGGTGTTTGTGATTATGAGTGCCATATTGCTTTTATACAAGAGCTCAATAAGTCTGACCGAGGCCTGCAGCCAATCAGATTTGAGCATGGCAGCTCACTCTGCAGTCATAAACTGGGGCTGCGTTCCAGTTCATTTTTTTACACCCCCTTCATTCACTAACATCCCTCTGTCTAGTGCACTCGATGTACGTCATTGATTTCGTTGCATGCGTGCCCACTACTGGCCAAACCCTAGGAACGTCCTAAACCCTTGATCACTATGGAGTTGGTTTATTGTTTAAATTTTTCCCTTTACGAATTAGTTTGGTGCAGCATTCTGTATGTGTATAGGTATACTCGGGATGTTATACATGTAAAAAAATATTATAGTATGTATATTATAGAGTTGTTTGGGGTGGGAATAAATTAAATGCCATGTGTGATGACGTCATAGTCGCGTTGCATTGTGGTCTATGGAGCGGCCTGAAGTGTGCTTATGAAGCTCCCTCGGTCAAAACCAAGGGGTCGAGAGTACTTATAACACGAGCCCCTGCTTTATACTAACAGTCGGGGTTAGTGTTGGGCGATATGCTGAATTGTCATATCGTCCTATCGTGAGATTGCCGATACACGGTATTATCGTGCTAATTTACCTAATTATTTATTTACTCTGTTTCATTGCCGGAAAGTGAACCAACTCCAGCGTAAGGCTAAAAGCAGCCTTATGTTTTTAATATGACTGAATTTGTATTTAACATGAAAACAATTTAATAGAAACTGCGAGTTTATGCAGTTTAAAAAACACTCCCGTTATAATCAGTGAAGCTGTCTACACTGTATGATGAATACATCTCTTATACTTGCATCGCACGCACATCTGCACTTTGTTGTTTATGCTGAGAGAATTCGCGAAAGAGCTGAATTCAGTGAGCACATGCACTCAACAAAACAACAACAATATGACTCTTCTGAACGCCTCTGATTGGCCATTGTTCATAAGCTCAACAGAATCGTATGTGATTGGTTATTACACCGTGTCCTAACTGCATGCAACGCGACGCCGCGACACACGATAAAAGGTATTTTTTCCATGTTAATCGGAGGTTTTGTCCTAACTAGCTGCGATGGAGACACGCAAACTTTCTATTTTAGAAACGGTTTCTATTTCCGCGACGCTGCGGCTGGAACAGCAACATACAAATTAGGGCTGCACAATTAATCTAATTTCTAATCGCGATTACAATTATGGACGCCACAATTACGTAATCGTTCAAAGCGGCAATTAATCATTCAAAGTCCCCTTATGTTATTCTGCGTGCTTAAGATATGTTTTTTTCTTTCTACATGTTGTCTTAAGGGTTTTTCCATTGTTTTAGTTTTAGTATAACATTATAATACCATTCATATTTTTACTTTTTTATAATTTAAAGAAGAAACCAATCCGATGTATAGTTAACATTTGAAGGCTTAATACTATAGAAAAGCACTAAAGATTTTTCAGTTAGAGTGTTTTCAACTTGTTTATTTTCATATAAAAATACGGCATGCAGCTGCATCAAACAATGGTATAAACATCATTCAATGTAAATTGTGATAATCGGAATTAATAATCGCAATTACAATTTCAAGGGAATAATCGACAATTATGTTTTTTGTCATAATCGTGCAGCCCTGATACAAACTATATGCCAGCAGATAATCTCAGGTGATCATGTGCTTTATTCAAAGTTAAACATGCCTAATGTGAGTTTGAATATCATTTTGCGTGACTTTATAGCCATACTGAAAGCAACAATAGATATTAAAGTAAATTTAAGCAAATATGTGCGTTAACTAAGTGCGAACCAACGAGTGTATTCCATGACAAAGATGTTATCAGTCACTCAGTATGTACATTTAATGATGTTAAAAAGCTTTAATATTTATGAATTAGATTATAAATGTATCCATTTCGTTGCGAGTGCAGTGCGCTTCCAGAGAGGCTCCGCCCCCACACGCTTCTGATTGGCTGTGATGTCTGATTGATTCTGGTGTGGACACAAACTGTTTGTCGCTGAAATCTTGTCACGTCGCATGTAGTTAGGACACGGTGTAACGCGCAACACTGTAAACACATGGAAAAATAAATATAATGGAACAAATAAGCCCTAATATTAATTACATAGTGTTACTATCCTGATAATAATAATAATATTCCTGCTATCGTCAAAGGCATCAGCTACAGGCAATATCTCTGACTATCTTCGATATATGATACTGTCGTCTAACGGCACAACCCTAGTCGGCGTGAAACGTCACACATCACATGACCGTCATCTGTGGTGTGTGTGTGTGTGTGTGTTCAGCTGCCGCACCTGGCACACACACACAGACACACACACACTCTCTCACACACACACACACACACTCTCACTCACACACACACACACACACACACACACTGACAGACGCGTGATTGTTCGGTGGCTCTGACGCTGTGCAGGTGCAGCTACAGTCGGCTCATTCAGTGGATGCTGATCTGCAGTCATGTGAATAACAGCAGTGGTGTGGTGTGTTGTGATCGTGATGTGGACGCGTCACACTCACAGAGCTGCACAGCTCAGAATAATAACCACAAATGCATGATTAACTAATCACAGAAGTATAGATTACACCACTATATTCACATCCAAGAGTACTGCTCACAGTGAGTTTGTGCAGTGTTGAACAGTCAATCACAGAAAGGTCTGCTGATCACATGAACGCAGCAGCCAATCAGAGGCACAGAGGAATCTAATGAAGGCTTTCACGATTCCTGTCATTATAGCCAACAAAATATTAAACTGTTTAAATGCGAGAGTGACTCAGTAACATTGACACCTCAGAAACATGCTGTAAGCAGTAATCTTTGAGACAGCAGGAGTAAATATGCATATCCTGCTGCGATCAGCACTTTTCCTGATTCTGTAATCGTGATGTTACCAAACAAATGAAATCAGTATCAACAACATCCCTTCTTGCACCGCATTTAGATGTACTGCATTACAATTACATAAACAGTGCTGTGAGAATAATTTTTAAAATATATTTTGAATGTTGAAATATTAAATTAAAACTGTCAATATGTAGCAGCAAGTCACTGTCTTAACGAATGAGTCATTGAATCATTCATTCCACCGATTTGTTGAAAAATACTGATTCATTCGGTAATGAATGTTGCTCTGAGAAGCTCAACAGTTCTGCTGTGGCTTTGACTGGAAAGATTTTCATTGGTGAAATAGAGGAAAAACATTGCGTCTAAAACGTAACTATAAATGCATGAATATTAACACACATTCTTGTTTATTAAATTGATGTATAAAATCAATATACCTGTTACATTTTGGCACTGTCCTAGTCCTACAAAACAGCATTTGTAATTGTGCTGATATTGAACCATCATATGATACAAATATGAGACGGATACACATACAGGGAATTATTGCCCTCATATATTGGATATGGGGTAATTTTAACTGCATTCAGCTTCTGCTAGTCCACATCACACAGTGTATACTTCATAATGTCACTAAACACGACAATAACACAGACAATAGCAATAGATGGTGTGTGTGAGTGTGTGTGTTCAGTCTGTCAGAAGTAGGTTAGTCACTAGTGCTCGGGGCTGTGTGTCAGTGTGTGTGACACACACACACACACACTCACACTCACTCACTCACTCACTCACACGCACACACACTGTAGTTCCTATCATTATGAGGACTTTCCGCAGGCGTCATGGTTTTTATGATGATACTCTCTCTGTCCTGACTCCAAACACAGGCCTCACAGAAAACTTACTGCCCTCTTTCATAAAATGTTGTTTGTGTGTTTGTTTATTTTTTTACTTTTTATTATTTTTTTTTATTTATTTATTTATTTTTCCTTTTCTTATCTGTGTTTTTGTTCTGTCACTGTCATTCTGTTGCACTGTGGAAGCTTCTGTCACGAAAACAAATTCCCCGTATGTGTAAACATACCTGGCAATAAATCTGATTCTGATTAGTGATTTGATTATTTAATGTCATGAACACACACTACACTCTGAGCACATTTATAATGTAGGTCAGACAGTACACACACACACACACACACACACACACATCACATGACGTCTGTCCTCTCAGTGTCTGCTGTGTTCCTGATTCTCAGCTCTCGTATGAAAGGCCGTCTCTTCTGCTGAAGAGTGTGTTGATCTCGGTTAGGGCTGTGCAAAAAATTGCCGGCAATTGTCATGCGCATCTCGTCAGTAAAGCAGGTTCTGTGATCAGTAGTAAATCTCCATCACAAGCTTTCAGATAGAGTAGCATTTACTACACAGAGACGTAGTTCACTGACAAGCTACACAAAACCACATTCATACTCTCAGGCGATTCATTGCAGATAATGAACGCCATATTGTGTAACTTGTCAGTGAACTACGGCTCTGTGTAGTAAATGCTGCTCCATCTGAAAGCACGTGATGGAGATT